TCGGGAAGCTCATCAATCCGGATCTTTTCGCAAAGATCGAAGCAAGAAGAAAATACAGCCCAAAAATCGACATACTGCCGAAAAAGTAGAACTTTCCGACGAGAATATTAGTTCCAGTGCCAAAAAATTGAAGACTGATCGTGAGTCCGCACCCGAAGATCCAAACATCGGGTATCGAATTTTGTATTTTCTGCCTTATCGGAATGTGTAAAATGCAAAAAGTGTGATAGTGATGTTCGATTCTCAATGAAAAGCACTCGAGGGCTCGGTTTTAAAATTGTAGTTTCGTGTTCATCGTGCAAACCGACTTTCATTCCTTCATGCCCGTACATCAAGACAGCTTACGAAATAAATACACGATTCTTTTTTATTATGCGTTTATTGGGGATTGGTTTGCGTGGAACTATGAAGACGAAACTCGCATAGCGAAAGCCGAGCTGCAAGCGCAAGAACAGACGAAAGAAGGTCGAATACGGCGCTGACAACAAAATTTAGAAGACATGAACATTCCGTCGACCGTAGAAGACTTACACTATGGGCCTGGTATCGATGATTCCATGTAAGTTAACAAATTTCATGATTTATTCATTCCCAAATTTTCAAACGCGTTTTTCTCGAAACCATGTTTTTCAAATTAGTACCCAAAATTTGTCGAAAATCAATGAACCGATTGCCTTGAATTTTTTTTGTGGTTATTCTATACATCATTATCTAGTACTTGTCATAGGATTTTTTTTTTCGTTGCTTAGTTTTTATTTTATAGGCAAAATAATAACTAATTTTTGGTCGAAAAATCGCTATGTTATGTTCAAACGTCCTCCATTTTGTCATAAATCGATATTTTCAAAATCGGCTATGATAAGTACTAGATTATAGTATCTAATTTAATAATCTTTTTGGTTTTTTGTTTCAGATGATTTTTGAAGAAACGCCAGTGGGTACCGTTTACCCGGATTTTTTTACGGCGCTCCGAAGATTATACAACCTCGTTTTTGATTTTTTTAATAAAAAAAATTGAACATATTCCTGAATGTGTATACTTTTAGATACAAAAACTCCCAATCCGAAATTTCAAATAGTTTTCCTTAAAAAAATTCACAAAAATGATCTTTTTTTCCGATTCCTAGGTGTATATCTCCCCTTAAAGGGATGCTAAACCGATTACCTAACTCAATCAAGGTCGATAGTACAGACTTTTTAATTCCAAATTCGATAATAGTGGTGACATCTTTGATTTAGTTTTTACATTATATCATATATAATATAGTATATCATTCTGTCTTACTCAAACGCA